AAAACTACCTTCTATCTACCAATGGGGTGTGGATGATAAATGATAATCAACCATATATACCCCACTTCAATCGGCAGGCAAGTTGAGAGAGAGAGAAATCCTCCACAAACTGCTAGTGCNCATAATTTTTGGTATAGTAGTTGTGACTTATTCACACTCTATACATTTGGCTTCCGCAACAGCCTCAATATTTGTGAGACGAGTAGTCCACAGACATTGCAATATCAATTTGCATATATGAATTGAGAATGAGATATAAGTAGGATTTATGTGTACATCAAATTCGAACACTTAAAACAATAAGTTGAAAACAGACAGTTGGCCGACTTCCCAAACACTTGCTTTGCATTCACGTCTCCTTACCATTGGCTTGTATTGATTTGAAATNACGATCTATACCAAGTCCAAGGACAAATGTCATAAATTAATGTAATAATGGGACTAATATATAGGATTAAGAATGTCCAGTCGTACGTCCAATTTCGATTAGCTTTTCATACATCTTTAATGTTTGTTGTTGAAATATAATTAATGATCTTTTCTTGAGCATTTGGCACCAATATGATCATCACCAGCGTTGTTATATCCTGAAGGCTAGAGATAGAGCTCTATTTAGGTATTACGAAAGAAAGACTACTACTCAGTAGATTCTTACTTACATTTATAGTACTTTTTATTACTCTACTTTAAACTATAAATCATAGGGATGATACTAGAAAATATCATTTGAAGAATCCCAGCAGAATTTACCTGAAAACAATTATGCTATTAATTTATCTTTTATCAGCTTCTCTTATTATTTTTCATATATAAATTATGGGGAAGATGAATGGAATTGAAGAAGAGGAACAATAAGAATTGAAAAACCACAACTGTTAAGCAGGAGACTCTAACTGGACCAGTACTAACTAGACTGCTAGATCATATGTGATTTGTTTGGTTAGTCCTACCAAGTATCAACTTGGCTATTGAGGCGCCCAGTTTTGCAACACTCATTGAATTGTACCTACTTTTTAAATAACTTCATATGCATACACTTTTCTCTTCTTCTTTCTTTATTGATATTTTCTTCTTCTTTGTGCTTAGAGTTTCTTCTACTTCTCAGTTGAAAAATGGGTTTGTTAAATTGTTGTTGTTTTGCCAATATGACGATTGAGATTTGTTCTTTGTGATATTTGAAAGCTATGTTTCTGTGAGAGTAACTGTGTTAAAACAAAAATCAGAAAACTGTTAGAAGAATAAAGAAATGTATAAAATAGTAAAGAATCAGAAATATTCCGAGTCCACAATTTTTCTTGTGCGTCCTTAAGGAATTTTAACCCCCTCACACGTTGCCAAGGTAATGGATTAAATCCTCCCAGGATAAAACGGAATAAACCTTCCTGCAACAGTGGCAATACAAACTGCAGGATACCAGCGAACTCAAAGAACGGAGCAAAATCACACTTACGAATTTGAGAGAGAGAGACTGCGAATTAGGATGCAGTATATTCAGAAAGAAAGAAGTGGACTGTTTTTCGTATTTTGAAGATGCAGCCTTGCCTCAGAATTTATAAACATATATCAGAAGAGGTGTCTAGAAAGGTGCCTTTTCAGAAAATACGCGGCCTGCCGCGGTTCTACCGCGATCGCGGCAAAACCGCGGCCAGAGAGGCCCTCTGAACCTGACTGCCGCGATTCTACCGCAGTCGTGGCAGAAACGCGGGCAGCGAGGCCTTCTCAACTTTCAGCAGGGTTCTGGCGTAGTTTCAGCAGTGATTTGGCATTTAATTAATTATTAAATAATTAAATAAATTTTATCCAAAAAATAATCTTATCGATCATTTGACAAAGCCGAAGCCGAGCGAGCGACGACGACGGCGCGAGGGTTCATTCTCTTCAACTCCTTTTAAGAGCTTTAAGAAGTGAATCTAGATATAAGAACACAAATGTGATTGTCCCTCACCAATGAGGGACAAAGTGCAAGACAAAAGTTCACTTCTTCAAATTTTCATTTTCCCTCCATTTTATTTCCCTCCATTTCCAATTCACACTTCTTCTACTTTAAAGCCCAATAGCTTAAAGTCCAACAGTTTCAAATTTGAGCTCATTTGGACATTAAAATCGTATATTAGATTGTTGAAATTCGAAAAACAAGTCTATGTTTCACAACTTAAGATTCGAAATCTGAAGTTGCATTTGAAAGATAGAAGAACTTAAGATTTGAATTTTTGAAGTTGCATTTGAAAGATAGAGGAACTTCAGATTTAATTTCTGAAGTTTCATTGAAGAGATTGAACTAATTCAAATCCAAACGGGCATACTTTACAAAATTTTGTACAATACGAATATAACTTTAATAGTGGTCAAAAATGGATACATATGAAAATATCTTGTATATCTTTGTGCACATGGGCTTGGACCGACTCCGAGTACGTAGGGAGATTTGCAGTCGTACACTATTTTTATACCACCTTTTAACCTATACCCTATTTTTAAAAACTATTGATTTCCTAACTAACTAACAAAAAATCCGTAATAATATGACAATTATACCCCTTCCAAAACATATAAGAGTCTGTCTCTCCTCCGTATTCCCAGATTCAAATTCCAGATCTCCTCCATCAATCCGTCTCTCCTGAGAACGCGTCTCGCATTCAAATTCAAATTCTGAATTCAAATTCAAATACATTGTAAGTATTCAAATTCATCTCCAGAATTCAAAATAGTTTTTGAATTATATGTTTTCTGATTGATTGATTGAAGTTGTTTGACAAACTTCACTGATATACTGAATTTGCAATTCTAAATCTATTTGACGGTGAATTCTAACATTCTAAGCTGAAGTTATTTAGATAACGAGCTGGCAAATAACACAACGAAGAAGATATTATATTAAATTTTATATGATTGTTTTATTGCTGAAGTTTTTTTGTCAATAATTAAAAGCTGAAGTTTTCCTCGTACACTGGGTAAAAAACCATAAAACATAAGTTAAAATTTCATATTGCACCAAAATAACTTCGGCCTAGGTGCTGAAATATTTTAGTTATTACTTAAAAACTTAAGCAGGAGGGCTGAAGTTTTCCTCCTACACTGGCTAAATTAAAAAATCATATTGCACCAAAAATACTTCGGCCTAGGTGCTGAAGTTTTTTAGTTATTACTTAAAAACTTAAGCAGGAGGGCTGAAGTTTTCCTCCCACACTGGCTAAATTTAAAAATCATATTGCACCAAAAAAACTTCGGCCTAGGTGCTGAAGTATTTTAGTTATTACTTAAAAACTTAAGAAGGAGGGCTGAAGTTTTCCTCCTACACTGACCAAATTAAAAAATCATATTGCACCAAAAAAACTTCGGCCTAGGTGCTGAAGTTTTTTAGTTATTACTTAAAAACTTAAGCATGAGGGCTAAAGTTTTCCTCCTACTGGCTAAATTAAAAAATCATATTGCACCAAAAAAACTTCGGCCTAGGTGCTGAAGTTTTTTTCCCCTGCATTGATGAATCACCATCATAAAAAAACTTCAGCTAATATGCTGAAGTTATTAAGCTTATCTCTAAAAACTTTAGCACTTATAAGTTGAAGTTTTCTTTGCAGGATTCATTAATTATGTCATACATCTTTTTCCAAAAAAAACTTCAGCAGAAGATGCCTAAGTGATTTAGTTTATTTGTAAAAACTTCAGCACAAACAACCTAAAAAGTTCTTCTGTTCACTTTCCTAATACTTGCCACTAAACATGAATCTGCAGGATGAGTTCGATTTGCATTGTTATAACTTTCAATGGGAGTTGGACTCCTGATTTCAAATACTTGGATCATGATACAAAACTTGTTCTACTTAATAAGGACATATCATTCAATACTTTCCTGAAGAAAATTAGTGAAGTTGCAAATATTGATTCAACCAGATATGTATTAAAAGTATGGTTTGATATCAAACTAAATACAAGCAAAGGAATGCTTGTAACTTCATATGAAGAACTCAGTACGTGTATACATTTGCTTACAACTGATTCAGCCTACAAGAATTGTCATTTCGTCATCGAAAAAATACAACCTTCAGAATCAGCAGCATTCAACCAATCTCTTGCATATGCGACAGATTCAGAACCTTTTGATGACTATCAACATGAAGTACGAGTGCCAATAATGGAAGTAGACAACGAGCAACAACCTTCTAACATTACAACTGCTTCAGAAAATACATAGTGCTGCAACAATTACCCCCTACTACAATAAATTCATACCAGTTTGTCGATGACCAAGAAGAAGAGGACAACTAATAATGCAAATTGACAACCAACACACAATCCAACAAAGCTTTTTTCCACCTTCTGCAATGATAAACAACAATGAAGATGAAGTAAACATGGAGCTTATACCGATAACATCACATAGAATTGAAGAAATTGCTGAAAGTTCTTGTGCTTCTCAGAAATCAAGAAAAAGAGCGAGGAGAAAGGTGAAAGAATATCCACCATGTAAAGTACTTAGGCACGATGCGTTGCCTGAGGAAGTAAGAGTTGGATCAATCTTTGAGAACAAACAAAACATGACTAAATTTTTCTGCAGCTTGGAGATAATCAAAAAGTTGAATT